ACATTGGAACAGCTGATCAATAGAATTTAAGCGAGTGTATTGCTTATTATTTCTGCATGTTACATGGTAATTTTGCTAATGTTTTTGTTGACTAACATTCGAAAATAGAATTTAGTTAGTAAACGATTTGAATATAAGTTGACGAATTTTTCGATACAATCAAAAGGATATGCAGAAAAATGTAACGTGACTTTCTGTTATGAGAAGTTTAGAAGCTTGGCACTCAGGTCAATCAGCTATCAAAAAACTCATCGACATTGACCCAACTCACCAGCCAATCAGAAAAATCATAGACAAGAATGGGGTCAAGAAGCAGATCAAAAGGGGGATATGATCAAAACGGTGCAAACAACGACAGGTTCAATGTCAGCAACAAATAATCAGGATCGAGGTTAACAGAATAAGCTACGTGTCAACGATGGAGAAATTCGAATACTTTACTTCTTTTATCTGAGTTTGTACTGATGATGTTGTTCAGTGCAAGAACACTGAAAGCTTCATAACCAAAACATCCAGCTCAAAGAGAACGAAGCACCATCACAATCATCTACCTAAGCAACAAATTTTCTCCACCATCTTAGTTTATATCTCTCTCTCTGCAATAAACTGCCTGTTTGATAGATTCCTTTTTTCAGTCTGATCTAAAAGCACACTGTCCAATTCCTAATCACGTTCAAATAGCTCGACAGAACTCGAGCAAAGAAGCATAACTTTTGTTCAGTAAATAATCAGTCGCCGAAAATCCAGATCGCTCAGTATTATAATCTTGAAATATAAGATCAGATGATTTGGGTTCAAAGCTTACATGAAGCATGAATTTCCCAAATACCATGTATACCTTCTTCCTGATAGTTCCACAGGATTTTGAGTTAATCACATTATAGACATTGCATCTTGATCGATCGAATCCAACCATTATTAAAGAATGAACAAATACGAAGTTCGTTACTACTTCTCAGTCATTAATTAGCTGACCGATTTACTTCAATTATATTTCTTCTAGTCAGAATGGGAATATTTTGTTTATCGGATACCGACGAACATACTACTCGAAAGTCGCTTAAATAATACTTTTTAATGCTAGAACATCTGTCAACGATTGTGTTTATTGGTGTTTTACATTTTGTCTTAGCACTGTGTATTTATCTGTTGACTATGCAAAACCAATTTTAATCAGTAGCGAAGATTGTACTATTTTCCTAGTTGGAATCATTATCTGATCTTACAGTGCTAGAACACCATGACAACACTGTGGATGGGCATCAGATTGCTCAAGACCACACATTCAACGGTGTCATAACATTAAAAATAAGTGTAGGATTTATGTGATCAGTTTAAATAAAATCATGCCTTGTTTTTACATATTTGTAATTTGGGAATCTGTCATGAATCGATAAGTTCGTTTGTGGTTCAACTAATATAATGTTTACACATGGAAATCATCAATCAATCATTGTTAGACCACCATTAGAAGAAACCTGAAAGCATTGATAGATGGCCGTTTCGTCCTAGCATGGGGCTCATCAGCAGTGCGCACCTACGACTCCTGCATGTCGCAGGATTCGAACCCAGGACCTTCGGTCTTCCGCGTGATCGCCTGCATCCAACGGTATCAGTGTCGATTTACCGTTCCACCACGTATAGATGTGTTCTGTGAGTGTACTTCGTTAGCGACTGTTTTTTCTGCCTGGTTTATCAGAAGTAATCAACGAAAATAAATGCCCTCCTGTACATCGTCTAATTGCACTTCCTAATTGTTGGGGATGTTAGATCCCCAGAACTCGCTTGATAAATGCCTTATTTTGGATTTGCGAGCATGGGCTGATCAGTTGACCTTGAGATTTCATTTCCCACCAGCAAAATCCATGGCTGTGATTGGCTGTTGTGTATTTTAATGTGCTGTTTTCTTAACTGTCCCAAGGACGTTTCTATGATGTATAAATAAACGAGAGTTGTATGCTTGATTGTATTGTGATTGCTAAGTGTTTGTAGAATATACTTTCTACGCTTACAAAGTTTTCTATCTTCAGCTGGGGATTCAAGGTAGCCTATCTGGTCGCTGGTAATTGTCTCGTCCGCGTTTATCGACTAAGGTGAACTCGTAATAGCTTCAGGCGTAAGAAGTGACGAACATATCACTAATTACCGGTTAACATGATTTATTTTTTAATTTTACGAACTGGAAATTTGAACTAATGGAAACCTGATAGATATTTCATGACTTTACTCTGTTTATTTTCGACTTACAAATAACTACAGTTTTACTAATAAACGGTACTGTAATCAAAATAAGTGTGTAAATAACAACGGTAGTTTGGATTTAACGATCAAAAATCAATATACATATGTTTATTCTTTGAGAAATTCTATCATCTTTAAGAAAAATGAAAGGCGAATAAATCATTTTGTTGGATGGTTCTCAAAAGAGCGGTATCACGCAGTCTATGCCGATAGTGAGAGTTCACTGAAACTAGGATGAGCAGACAGGCATTTAACAAGACATCAGATTGGTAAAATGTTAACGATTCGTCAAAGTTATGCTGATTGATTGTGATATTACTCAAATGCCTCATAGCATACTTTCGCGCAGATTGATAAACACTGAGTGTGTCTGGAACATCCTGCAGCATGCTTCCGGCCTACAATTCCTATAATATCTATAAACCGGTATGCACTACGACTAACTGTCTACTTCACACTGCATATGTGCTTCATCTCTCATTTGAACTATGCGCGCTGCGAAGATTTCAAGACTACCTCTATCATGTCAAGATTAGGGAAACTACCAAACTCACCTGGGCATTTCAACTGTTTATAAAACATGGTGGTGCCTATCACAGACATCGTCACGCAGTGCGTAAATGCAACTAATTACAACAAAGTTCACAGCTCATACGAACAGTAAAGGCAGAACGGTTTTTAATAATCTAATTGGGACTGCGTGTTTGATTTGTCAAAGTATAACAGAGACAAGAATACCAAAATTAATTATCTATTAGATGGGAAAGTTTAGAGCTAGTTTATCAGTCACTCAACTCATTTATCGCTTATTAATAACATTCGTTCTGCTTAATCAGTCTATATAAATCTGATTCAGCAAAGTTTTATGCGAGTAGTATCATTTAATTATAAATTATTCCATAAATAATTACTGCCTAAGATAATCAATCAGTCACCGGATAGGAAATGTAATTTGTTACTTAAATGACTATTGAAATACTGTCTGTTTTCATGTCAGTCTATCAGTCAGCAAGAACGTAGAACTTGGTATGTACCTACCAACATCACTTCAAGTTGCCATACCATATGAGCACAGAGACCCAATTGTCAATTCAAATCTTATAGTTGTAGATGTAGTAGAAGTATTAGCACTGATGGAAAAGCATAAGGTTTGAAGATATAATTCAAGAAGTACAGAAGAGTGTAATAAATTCAAAAGCCGAAGAAAGATCATGAGGAATTCAGAACATTAAAAATTTAAGAGAACACAAAGAATGGATATACTAGACCATTGCAAACAGTTTTTAGCCATATCATTCAAAATCTCTGACCATTGGTTACGATTGTCTCATGGACCTACCCCAAACCAGTTAGTTAGTCTACACTCCTGATAGCATGTCTCAATCTAGCTATCAGTGACTTCATGGATTTGTGCTACGTTCTATTTTTGGCCACCTGTACGTTTTTTATGTACTACTCAAACTACTACTCATGAAATAACAATTGAAGCTCTACGTAAAGTTTTATTCATATACAGCAAATAACATTATCGATTGATAATTTTTAAACTTCTGAAAACTTATTTCAACGTGTCAAGTTACAGAGTAAGTAAAATTACTCAGTTAATTTTTCTAGTATATTCTGATTGGTCAAAGTATTCTTAAATGGAACTGACTACTGAGCAATGAGCATCCTCAACTCCTGCTACTCTCAGGATCTGGACAAAGAACCTTCCGTTTTGCGCGTGAATGCATAACCTCTGGATCGCTGGACCAGCATCTAGTAATGTTAATGTTTAACTTTGCTCAGTCCAAAGGTATAGCACAACCTCACCCATTGTTTTCAGTCTTTTCCGTCTACACTCGACAGGGTTAAGCTACAATGAATAAGTCGTCTCACCAGGCAGTATCTGCCGAAGACAAATGGGTGAGGTTGATCAAACTTAGACATTAACACCTTTAGATGTCTGCCCAGTTGTCCTTAGGTTAGACGTTCGCGCACAATACCGAAGTTCCTAGGTTGGGATCCTGAGAGTAGCAGGATTCGTGGATGCGCACAGCTGATGAGTCAAATACTATGGAAAGAAACGGTCGTCTTTCAGTACTTACAGGTTTCTAATGGTGGTGGTCTAACAGTAACTGATTCATAAATGCACTGATAATGCAAAAAAGTATTCTTAACCTTTTTCTAGATCTCTCTAATAATTCTTGGGAGACTTGTAAAATTTTCCAAATTGAAAACTTAATCCACTTCTCTTTGACGAACAATAAACACATTTGGAATCATCAATCAATCAACTGTTAGACTACCATTAGAAACCTGCAAGCACTGGACGGCTGTTTCGTCCTGGTATGGGACTCATCAGCAGTGCGCATCCACGACTCCTGCTCCTCGCAGGATTCGAACCGGGGATCTTCGGCATTGTAGGCTAACGCCTTACCACCGAACCACTGGGCCGGCATCCAACGGTGCCGTACAGTACAGTTACTTATCGAGTTACATGTTTTCTACATATTTTTTTGTTAAATTATGTGTGAGCAAGAGAGAGAGAGAACAACAGTCATAACCTCTTTTTGTTATCAATGTTTATTCACATCATGATCATCATTCACTATTGAAGATCAATAATAGTTTTGTTTAAATTAATAATAATAATAATAATAATAGAAAAAAAACATTGGAAATAATTATTATTCAAGTGAATATTTTTTTGAATTGATGAAAAATAAAACAATAACAATAGAATAATAAATAACATTATGATAATAAATGAAATTTAAAAATTATACCACATGAATATTTAAACAAAAAATATATATATGCATATATTTTTATATATATCATTTTAATAAACTAAGTGTGAGATTATAGAAAAAAAACAAATATTGATGAGTTAGTTTTTTTTTGGTCATTTTGTTTTGTTTTAATTTTTCATTGTAACATGAATTGAATATGGCGGCGGTGGCGGCGGCGGAAGAATCAAATGTACTTTACATTTTTTTTATGAAGTAAGTCGTTTGCCAAGAAAACATCAGAAAATGTAAAATATCAATGATAAAATGAGCATGCAACAAATGTTTGTTTGTGTGTTTATTTTGATCTAACCTTAAGGAGATGTTGAGAAGATGAGTGTGTGTGTGTGTGTGTATTGGTGAGTGCGAGAGGGCGAGATAGAGTTGATTGAGGGGGGCGTGTTGTTCATGGCCACAGTAGTAGTTGTAATAGTTGTAGTAGAATAATGATAATAATAATAGGCGTCATCTTATCAGTATCGTTTCAATGTGGATAGCATTACTCGCACACACACACACACACATTCACATTCAATTCATATGTATATATATATTTATATGTATGATGGGATTGTGCTTCTATGATTATGGTGATTATGATGATGATGATTATGATGATGATTATTTAGGTAAATGACGTCTTGTCCTATAACCACGAAATGTTGCTTGTATTTTAGTTGCAGCTAATTCTGGATCATTAATAAAACAACACGATGAATTGGAGCTGAATTTTCTTTCTTGATTATAATTATGATGAGGATGATGATGGGGATGAGGATGATTAATTTTATATCGGGCATAATTGTGATTTTCTTTATTCTGTCCATCCTGATGATGATGATGATGTAATAATGGAGCTAATGATTTCCTTGTTTTATAACCACGATAACCAGCTTGAATTTTTGTCACAGCTTTAATTTTTCCATCGAAATCTTCATCGTTTCCACGATGATGATGATGATGATCATCGATACTGAAATAATTCAATTTTTGTTCATTACTTTTAAGCATTCTCTCATCATTGTCATCATGGTTATCATGATCACGTAATGCTTTCCTAGTTAAATAACCACGATAACTAGCTTGTATTCGTGTGGCTGCATTGTCTAATTCAGTAGTAGTGTTAGTAGTAGTAGTATGTGATTTTCTATCTGCATATAAATTATAATTATTATTATTATTATTTGGTGACAGCGATGATGAGTTACGCGATGACGATGAGTTCAGTGTTAAATTACCATATTTTTTACGTGTACAATAACCACGATAACCAGCTTGAATTTTTGTTGCAGCTAATGATTCTTTATCTAAATAGTTGGGATGTTGATAAGAATGTAGTGTTGTTGTAGTTGTAGTTGTGCTTGTTGTATTATTGGCCGATGTTCTTGATGTTGGCGTTGATCTATTCGAACGAATGGATGACATGGTCTATAAACAAAAATAAAAATTTAAATTTAGGAAAATTCGATGAAAAAAAATAAATTTTTACACATTTGAAATCATCAATCAATCAATGAGTGTTAGACTGCCATTAGAAGAAACTTGGTAGCACTGAAAGACAGCTGTTTCATCCTGGTATCGGACTGGCTCATCATTGGCAGTGCATATCCACAACTCCTGCACCTCACAGGATTTGAACCCAGCACCTTCGGTCTTGTGTGAGAACACCTAACCGGCATCCAACGGTGTTAATGTCTACGCGTCCGATCTAGATATTTAGTGCCACCTCACCTATTTATTTTTGGTAGGTACTGCCTACACCTGACTGGTCATGTCTTCTCACTAGAACTCTGGTCACTAGTGAGCACATTTTACGATATTTTCAATTAGGGTTATGGAGATTAGTGTTTTTTTACACATTGAAACCACTAATCAGTCGTTGTTTTTGAAAAACAAAAGAAAAAACTGGCTTTCTCTGTTATTACATATTTAAGATTGAAGTTGCTTTTATTTATCGATCAAGTTTGATATCAATTAATGAACCATTTCGGATACAATTTTTTCAATAATCGGTCTGTAAACATACATACATGATATTATAATCTAACATTATCAATTGTATTTATCCCGAAAAGATATGAATACAACAGATTCGAACTACTAAATATTTATTAAGTAGTTCAAGTAATTAATATACAAATCTAACTACACATCTCACTTCTACATGCAAATATGCAGATTTATCTAAATAGGACTTCTTACTATAATTATACTTCCTGAATTACATCGTTTTAAATCACATTTTCTCTCCGCATTTCTACGATATACATGTTTACATGCTGTTACTTTATAATCACATGTTTTTCGTACATGCACACACAAACACACACATACATTCAGGATAAATATGACTTGATAACGTGATTAATGTGTACGTAAATTTTGTAACCCAAAAAAGAGTAAAGCCTAAAAATTAAACCTTTGCAACAAATTTCATTCCGCAATTTATCATTAAATTCTTTTATTTTTTTGTTTTTCATATATACGCATATGTATTTGTGTGTTTATGTGTGCTAGCATAGTTTTTGCATTCCAGGTTGGGAAATCAATATACCGCGTGACCTTGAAGCGATTTATTTTATGTTTAGAACTAAAAAAGTAAAACAACGTTGAATTGAACAACTATGTCCATAACTCATCATTTGATGTAATTTAGTGTTGGAAATGTAAAATGGATTAGGATTCGTGTATTTGATTCATCGTGTAGTCAGTCAGTCATAATGGTATAAGTAACCTAGAGAAGTTGTTTAACAATTTTAGTTAGGATAATACTTGTTACTTAGTTTAGTAATATAAACTGAAAAACTTTGTAAAAAAAATATGACACATCTTACTGTTTGGACATGGTGATTTTTCTCAATAAATAAAACAGACAAATGACATGCATTGAACAAGTAAAAAACTTCTAACATCAACTATTATTAACAAGTTTTAGTGAATAATTGACATGTTAAAGATGATCATGACCTAATTGAATGGAATTTTTAAATAGTTCATCATTGATTTTAATGTAAAAATTTTCAAAATGTAAATTGACTTTCAATGTTTGACCTTAGATATAATAAAAAAGAGGGAAAACAAGATGTAGTCAATAAGTGATTGATTGATTCCTTGCCACTCATACTTCATATTGGGGCGGGAAATTGAACTTCAAACGTCTCCATTCATGAAGCTGTCCATTTTGAACTACAAAATGGTGGTGTATTGACATTTGTAATCATTTCCGTGACAGAACATGATCAATGTCTATTATCAATCATTGGTGATATCTGTTTCAGTCCCACATGTAATGCAGGAACAAGTCAAGATCAAATGAAATAGCAGGATATTTAGAGATGATACAGTTTTGCTAACAAAATGTGAATGAATATATTATCGTCAGAATTTTAAATTTTAAAATCCTAATTTTTGTAATTTTATTTAGGAAATTTTGTATTTTGATGTTTTCGTGCCAAAGACGCTCATTTTGACTTTCATATTGCATTTTCCACTTGGAGAAGAAGCCTTTACTGTCTGTCATTGATTGATGGATTATTTTAGTACGCCATTTTTCTGGCTCTCACCAAGGGTGTTTTTCTATCATTGTTTCAATAAGCTTAAGTTGTGTGCTGCTTGTCAACTTCGTACTGAGAAGACTGAGGCAGGCTCGATAGACTGTAGTTGGCAAATTTATACTCTTAGTCAATTAAAAACGAAAACATTACATTGAACACTCTATTTGCACATCATCTTTGAGTCCTGACTTCCAACGCTTCCATTCCTGCTGTTGCTTCCTTTACTTCCTGTCGGTGCTCTATTTATTTCTGGCTTTTGCTCTATTTGCTTTCCGTTTTCCTCTTCTGACCGTGAGACTTCTTGTTTCACGTCCATTCTTATACTACTTATATCGTTCGTATAAGTAGCACACACCACACTCGAGGTTGCCTGTAGAATATGTCTTATCAAGACTTCTTCCTCTAGCTGTTGGGGCCTGGGACAATTGGATTAGAATAGCCTACCGTGTCACTGAATCATTACTGATGTTTGTTCCTTTATCGAGTAAGGTGAACTAGTGTTGTGGTGCGAGCTACTTATAAGTAGTATATGACGTGAATGTCAACCTAATGTCTGGCAGCAGAAGATGGGGGAAGATCAAGAAAACAAAAGAGTGGGAACACAATGGAATTTGTATGAAACGCATGAATAACTGAAATATCAGACAATGGATTGATGATGGCTTGAAGATTTGCAAATTAACCGTTTACGATATGGTTTTCCTATTTTACTGAGTAACTCTGTAATTTTCGTTAAATACAATTTGGTTGCCCTCACCTGTGTTCTCCTTCACTACAGGGTTACCTGCAAGCATATCAAATCATATTACCAGTAATATCCACCTGACCTATATATAATAAAAAAACTAACCTCCATTACTCATGACTTACTTACTCATGTGATTAACTAAATGACACATTGAAAGCTGCTCATCATTCATTCATTCAATATATAGATAGATAAGTCTTTTATCAAAGAGGATTAATTTTATAGGGAAGTATGAACAATCAATAGCGATGACAAACGATGCAGTTAAAGTGAATTATGGCAAGCGAAAAAAAAGCGTTAATCAATAAAATCAGAGGAGATGAATGATATTTTTGAATGTTGTATATATGAAGAATGAAAATATTATTAATAATAATAATTATTATTATTATCATTAAAAGTTAAGGTCAATGTAAAGAAGATAAGACAATAAGAAGACTTGTCTCTCTGTTTGTTTGTTTTTCCCTATATACAAAGTTATTTATTGAATTGTCTTAAATATAAGTGAATACTCTGAAACATTATTTATTGAGTTCAACATGAAGAAAAAAAGTTAATCAGTTTTAAATATATATTCGATCAAGTAGTTAGTCAGTCAGTCAGTCAGTCAGTTACAACGTTGAAATTTGTATATATACGTACATCAGTTCACAAGTTGCCATAGCACAATAGCCCACAGAGATGCAATTGTTGATAGTAGTACTACAGGTAGTAGAAGTATTAGTAGGGTTCGAAGAAATTATTCAAGAAGTGTAATTCAGTGAGATAAATTTAGAAAGATAGAAAGATAGAGATGATGAGGATTAGAATTTGTAATATGATAAAGAATGAATGTGTCTGTGCCAATGCAAATGATTTTGAGCCGTATCATTCAATGTTTCTCAGCATCGATTATTATTATTATTATCTCGTGGACCCCTTACCAGTTAGTTTACGCCTACCAACATGATTCAGTCTACTTGTTGTCAGTGACTTCATGGATTTCTGCCATGTTTTGGTTTGGCTGTCCTTAGCTTTCTTTCAACCTACTCCTACACCACAAAAAAGTCAGTCACCATGCCATCAGTACTGATCCAATTCCCATATATATATTCTGGCAAAAACTAGCTGACTGAATAATATCATTTCTCATTATACAGCACATTTTATGCTCACTAGTGAGCTCTAGTGAGAAGCCGTGACCGATTGGAGTTCAACCATGTCGAGTGTAGGCTGAAGTTGAGCCATACTTTAGATCTCATTAAACTAGACATTAAAACCGTTGGCTAAGTGGTCAAGAGAGTTTAGTAGTCCACGTGTGTGAGTAAAGATCCTGGGTCCGAATCCCACGACTCGCAGCTGTCGTGGATGGGCACTTTTGACGAGCTCCATAGTAGGACGAAATGTCCATCCAGCGATTGTAGGTTTGTAATGGTGATCTGACAATGATCGATTCATAATCTCAATGTATTATATCAATCAAATACGTAAGCATAACACTAAATTGAAAATTTATTGAAATATATATTCACTAATGTTGTAGTGAAGGAGAACACAGGTGAGGGCAACCAAATTGTATTTAACGAAAATTACAGAGTTACTCAGTAAAATAGGAAAACCATATCGTAAACGGTTAATTTGCAAATCTTCAATCCATCATCAATCCATTGTCTGACATTTCACTTATTCATGAATTTCATACAAATTCCATTGGGTTCTAGCTCTTCCTTTCTTGATCTTCCCCCATCTTCTGCTGCCAGACATTACGTTTTTACTCGCGTCATAAACTACTTATAAGTAGCGCGCACCACAATGTCAGTTAAATAGATAATTTGTTTGAAAAAAATGATATTTTTTCAACTTTTTAATTAAAATATAAGTTGATAACGATCATAAAATATTTAACTGTTGATTTGAATATCAGTTTTATACTACACATCGTTAAGTTTAACTGCAATAAATATACAACAATATACAACAAACGAATTTGGAATATGACTAACTGACCTTAGAAAAAAAATTTTTAGTGACTAAAAAAAGTTTAATCATGTTTGGATAGAAAGAATTCACCTACTGAAGATATCATCCAATCATCATGCAATAAATATCATAGATTGATTAAGATTAGGGCATTATGGTATACCATA